CTGTTGGTTTATGAAATGACAAGTTGTAAACTTGTGTTTCTTTATCTTGAACTTTTAAATATCTATTTTCGAGAGTGGGCATTGTCACTTTAAAACCTATGCGCTGCTTGTTGTACATATCGATATGTGATTGGTGAATTAACCGGTTAACACGCGTTCGTTGTTATTTATTAAATGTTTTGTGTATTTGTGTGTGCGTGCTTCATAGATTCGATAGTTGTCTGTTTCGTATCTTTGATTGGTGCTGAATCTGTTGCTGCTCTTACAGTTGGTTTGGAAAGTGTCGCGTATTCCGTTGTCATGTTTAGCTGAACCGCTGTGGATACACTGATTTGTAGGTGTAATTTGACATTAAACAAAACATTCTTGTAATTGTTTGATCGTCATAGGCGAAAACAGAAGACGCACTTGAGACGGCGGCTGACAGACAAAAGACTTATTCTTGCATGTGTTAGCTAAAACTATTTGTTTGTTAGTAGATCCAGTATCAGGGGGGTTAATTATTATATATGCCTACGGACCAAGGTATGTCTCCTGGTGTTCGAATAGGTTTTGTTTTTTCGATCCAACAAACAGGTGCTAAAATGCCATGGAGTTGTGGCTACTTAAACGGTCCCCTAGGTTACTGTAAGCAAGTGTATCGAGGGTGCGTCCATACGGGCTATAACAAGTCCGACGCTCAGGTCATTACTTTCTTACATTGTCTATCTTGGTAAGCAGTACTGATCATCATTGTGAAAGTTTGAGGCAATGACGTCACAGAGATCAGTTGAACTGTAGTTATTGATGCATACCCTGTGTTTGTTTCCGTTATGTGCGGTATTTGTCAAAAAGCATTGTTACGAGGCTAGGCTAGATTGGAGGAAGCCTACATAGCTCCTTTAGATACTACGACGCATTCCCCAAATTTGAAGCATTTTCATTATATACCTGATATGTTTTATTGCATAAACTTCATTGCTTGACTTCATCTTCATGAAGATTGTTTGACTTAAAAAAATTATTTCTATTTTATCCTACATTCTCAACACAAGGGCATTTTTCACCACAGATACTTCATCGTAATATCACTAAAGCCATCAAGTGTGTTCGTAATGAGAATACAAAACTTCTAGGGTTAAGCTCATAAGATATTTGCTGAAGATACTAAACTTGGAATATTACTACTATGACTCTGCCACTTCTACAACGTGGGAAATGCATGCATGACACAATGCCTGAAATTATATGAAAAGACAGCAGGCACATCAGTATATGGTTATGGATACCTTTCTCAGTATTCGTCACAAATTCACTGAACCGGAGTACAGGTTTGCTTCCACTTCGCTTCTGTTGCTGACCATCTGTATTACGTGCGCATTGTAATTGCCTGTAACTCACATTCTACTATAGTACTGTATATGGCGTTGATCTACAAAAGGGCATCATAGTGATTCTATTCAAGTAGCAATAAACAAACCTACTAACCACAACTTTAATCACACTTTAATGCAAAGGTGCATAACGATGACCCTGGGACAGTCGATATGATCTAGAATGGCGGCGTTATTACAACCCTAAATTTCATCGAGCAATTTCAGCTGACCAGAGTGTTGCGGAGCCACTACCGATCGCAAGTGCGGCATTGACATTCAAGTCGAAGGAGGCTGTGACACTGTAGTTTACCAGTGCCACATCACAAAAATGAGGTGTCGGTTTACGAAAAGACGACCAGAAAGAAATGGACAGCATACTGGCAAACTGGTACGTACGGCCAGGAAGGAACGATATAGACCTCAAAAATCAGATTGGCCGTTGGCGACTTTCGAAGAATATCAGCTGAACCCTATTACTGTGCTCGTGACATGTATGATCAGAATAAAGTGTGCACCATTATGTCAAAAGAGTATCCCCCAATACTTTTTCGTGACATTTCTATCCGGCGGAATCAACAAAGATCCATATATTCGAATTATACAAAGACATTACACTCCTACCTACCTCAGTTCATATTGTATCAGTAATTCGATTTAATAATTTATGAAATACATCACAGCTAAAGCACTTAAACACTGCACTATGCATTTCTTTCGGATGGGAGGAAATGTCATTTAGAAGAAGTGTATAAATAATGTTTTTGAAGATCGAGAACCGACAGCTGCGATAGTTTGGGTGTATTTTGCGAATGATTCCAGGAAGCAAGGCGAATGAATAACTTACAACTTTCTCATCATACCAACTGACCACCCCGAGACGGCCAAGAATGGACTGGGAAAATGCCTTGATGGCCAATGTTCCAGATTCGGGTTATCTTCTGCCAGAGCTAAAACGCTGACGCGGGACCGCGAAAGTTGGAGACAATGAGGCCACTACTACCCAAATGGATAAGTAGCTCGAAACTGACAGCCTGAATAGCATAAGGATTAGTCAGTTCCCCTTCAATCCCACGTTGGCACTACTTCAGACGTTAAA